ACCTACTACCAAGCAGTCACTACAGGACTTCAATGCTGAACAGGAGGCATTTAAGGAGATCCCCCATAACTCCTCTGGAATTCTTTAACGTCGCAAACAGGACGACGCGATCAGCAAGTCCTCTCAAGACTTAGACAGCTGGTCGTGCAGCCCACAACTTGGATTTTGGGCCTGCCATGCCACACTAAGCAGCCCGCCGCTTTGTACCGGTCCTTGGGAGGGTTTGTCCTCCGGGTCAGCCATTCGTCAGACATGGCCTTTAGCCCTACTCAGCCTGTGTGGGTTTGGTCAACACAACTCTACTACCTCATACACAAGAGTTCCTATCACCAGGACATAAGAGACTCAATGCAAAAGAAGAGACAAACAGACTCAACAAGTACCATGGGGTGAATGCACATCCATAGGGCAAGGGGATAGGCTGAAGGCTTGGCGAGAGTATACCAACTCCAGCTTGGTCAAACTCATGGTCAACAGCTCCGATCAACGCTGGTCAATGCTGGTCAACTTCCAGGTCAACACCTTGGTCAACGCCCAGATCAACCCTGGTCAACAACTCGGTCAACTCCGGTCAACACCTTAGTCAACGCTTCGGTCAACGCTCAACTCGGCTATGGCTGCCAACCGCTTCTCCCCCACCAGCCTTCGCTACTCTTCTTCTCCCTCCTTCCTTCTTCCTTCTTACTTCTTACTTCATCCTGGTTATGGCCTCTCTCTCCTTCTTCGTCCCTCCTTTCTCTTCCTCGACTATGGTTTCTCTCTCCTTCTTCGTCCCTCCTTTCTCTTCCTCGACTATGGCTTATCTCTCCTTCTTTACTCGGTCTTCTTTCTCCTTCGTTTACTCTGTGTCCGAGCTCGGCGGCTATGGGCGCCACTTCCTTCCTTGGACCGCACAACCTCTCTCTCTCTCTCTCTCTCTCTCTCTCTCTCTCTCTCTCTCTCTCTCTCTCTCTCTCTCTCTCNTCTCTCTCTCTCTCTCTCTCTCTCTCTCTCTCTCTCTCTCTCTCTCTCTCTCTCTCTCTCTCTCTCTCTCTCTTCGTCGTTGTCTCTTTGCAGGTACGCGGCACCTTCCTTCAGCGGCGCAGCTATGGCGGACCCTTCTTCTTCAATGGCGCACTTCTGCTATGGTGCCCAACTGGCGCGCGCCTCCTTCCTGTTGACAACGACGATGGCGCGTGAAATAGCGGGAAGCAGCTCCGATACCAATGCAATCAGACTCACTTTCTTCTTCAATCCACATGCATGCAAACAAATGGCAAATCCAAATTGGCGCCAGACGCCCGCACAACTCAGACACAAACTTGCTTCAGACTGGCTATGGCACCTGAGCGCCTACACTTCACGTATCAACTTTGTATTTACATCAACTGTTCAAATGCACTCGACTCTGGATCTCCCTGGATATCCCACGCACACACACACTCTCACTACCACCTATCGCTAGCTATGGCAGCTATGGCCGCCAGCTACCACTAACTACAAGCAGCGATGGCTGCTCTAACTACGCCTCAGCCCACTTCGAGGGCATCTACAGACCACCTCGCACAAGACACTAGGGCAGCGCTTCCGCATGGCTCACGGAGAATGAATGAATGGTTGGACGCTGCCTCTTGATTTATACTTCTGTAAGTCGCTGGTTTGCCCCTTTCCACCGGGCCCATGGTGCACACAGTCCCACATGGTACTTGCTGACTGGACAAAGTGAGACTGGGACTGGATACCGCTGACTAAGCAAAGTTGGACTACCCACTTGCCCACTTGCCTCTGGTCTAACGTGAGCAAACCTCGAAAGGCCACTTCCGGACCTTCCGGAAGTCTGTGGACTTGGCCTTTCGAGGCTGTAGCAGCTACGACCTTGACCTTTCCAGACTGTAGCAGCTATGACCTTGACCTTTAAAAGTTGCAACTACACAACTATGACCCCTACTCGACAGACCTACGGTTCAAGACCCGACAGCTACACAGACCTATGACAGACAACAGTCAGCTACCAAAACACACGTCACAGGTTTAAACACACAGGGGTCGACTGGATACTGTACACGGGTGAGGTAAGGTTTAGGGATCGAGCCCTGGGATCGGTATTTGTTATTGCAAAGGTGAAAACCGTTTCATGCGGGCCTGAGCCCATAACATTTGCATACCTAGAAGGGCCTTGCGAGGGCTCAATCCTCGCATTTGGAGGGGGGGGGGGGCTTTAAAAAAGTGAAAAATAGAAGTCCTTGCACACCCTCGCAAGGTGACACCCTCGCACCCCCTATATTCCTGTTCATAATGGAAGTCATTGCATCTTTCCTCCGCAAGGACCCATCCATAGACCGCCTCGCTGAACAAAACCACAACCCCCTCCACGACTTCGTTCGATCTCACGGTCCTCATTCGCGCCAGTAACTCCTCCTTCCAGGCCCTGGTCCACGCTATGGAAGCCTTCAGACTCGCCTCAGAAATGAAGGTAAACTGGTCGAAAACGAAAGGATGGTGGCTTGCAGAACGCAACCCCACCCAACCTCCAGACCCATCCACCCCAATGTCATGGACCACAGGCGACCAAGCACTCCAATACCTGGGCATTATGATAAACAGAGACCGCATCTGGCAAGGCATGGGAGAGACTTTAATTGCCAGAACAGTAACCCGTCCAGCCAACCTGCTAGGTAGAGCCCTGATCATCAACACATTAGTCTTTTCCACTATGTGGTACACGGCCTCCATATGGTCCCCTCTCGACGACGACCTGAAGAAGCTGAAGGCTAGAGCCAGGTGCTACCTGTGGACTAACGACCCCAACAGAACCACCTGCATAAACAAGGTGGCCTGGCAAACCGTCATCAGGAAACCACAGGAAGGTGGGCTAGGTATAATCGACCCTAAACAGGAAGCCATCGCCCTCCAAATGAAATGGATTATCAAAATCCTAACCAAACAAGCCCTCCCGTGGACTAAGATGGTGGTAGACAACATAAGAAACCTGACACCGGTAGCATCCCCTCCAAACATGGGTGGACTCTTCTGGATCATGGCAAAGGAATGGACAATCAAACCCCGAAGACCTGCTAGGAGTAACAACCCCCGGAACCCCTAATCAGCCCCTCACTATGCCCATCCGCTATTGGTCACCGATCCTGAAGGCCTGGCACCGACTGATGCCAGAAAAGAAAGAGTTCCCGAGCAACAAAGAGGAAGCCGTAAGACAGCCCCTGTTCTGCAATCTCTGGATTAAAGACACAAGAGGGCAGACCATGGACTCTCCGGGCCAAAGACCATAGATGGTTGTCTTGGGTGAAGAGAGGAGTATGGCAGGTCAAACATCTATGGTCTGAGGACCGACAAGAATGGTAAATCGTACAGGACCTCCGCACATCCTTAGAAGGATGGCCACCTACTGACCACCAACCTGTCAGAAATCCTCCAAAGCATCCCCCATCCATGGACGGCCATCCTTAAAGAATCACACATGTGGAAATCAGGAGACTAGGGACTGCTCACCACACAGACCCCACCAACAAGAGCCTACCGCTTCGTGTCCAAACCGGACCCGAACAATTACCAGACCAAGTTCATATCCTACCCTATCATCAAACACAACATTTACGAACTAAAGGTCCTGAACAGAACACCACAGAACGAACAAATAGAAACCTACCTTCTTCGGAAGGTTAGAGTCTCTCACAGGCAACCCTGGATCAGCTTCCAGCCGGAAGTCAGCATTAAGGAGCTGGAATTCGACCCTAAGGAATGGATATGGGATCTGGGCGCCACCGGGAAATCGAGGACGATAACAGAATACGACGTAAAGTTCGGATATAACCTCGGACTACAAACCAGGGACCCAAATCCGAGACTGACAGAGAAATGGAGAAGCATACTGAACATAGGTGACACGATCCCCTTCACCATCCCCTGGACCAAATACCTCCTCATCAGACCTATCAGAATTCGCAGCTTGCAATGGCTAATAGCACATGCAGCCCTTCCCGTCAACCAGTGGCTACATACTAGAAGGAAACACTCTGATCCCGATAGTTCGGAATGCTGCACAATGTGCAGCAACAACTCCCCGGAAGACATCCCACACTGCCTCCTGTTCTGCCCAGAAGCGACATGGGTATGGAAGGTGGTCCGCGAGCTATGGTCGATCCTGTTCGCTTCGCCACCCCCTGACATTCCCCCTCTCTCTATCCTAATCCTAACTAACATCCCCAGCAACATCACAGGCAGCAGCGAAGTATGGTTTACCTTGCTCAGGAAGCCGGCACTGTGGGTAATACGGAAACGCAGATGCACTCAGACAATCGAGGGTGCAGAGGTGGCTAGGGAAGAAATGTGGTCACTACTGCTGAGCATGGCAGAGACGGAAATCAGAAGCAGATGGCGGAGAATAGTCAACTCTATAAGACACAGACCAGATGGACAAGCAACCAAGAAACAGACCTTCATGAGGAACTGGCTGCTAAGGGGCCAGGTGGCGACGATAGTGGACAACAGGTTGAGGTGGAAGAAATGGCACCACGCACAATCTTGAAGTCTATAAGGTCGCCCGCCGGGCGCCCTGGCAGAAGGTCAAGAAGGCACTGAAGAGGGATCAACAAAAAGGCTGACCGGACACACAACGAAGGACAAGGACAAGCAATAGAACACTGAGCGGGCCCCCCCAACTTTTCTTGCATTGCAGGGATTCATTCGACAGGCTCTGAATAGAAGCCGGAGAGGAACAAGTGGTCAGGGCAAGCTGACAGTCAATCCTCCTTAGAAGGAGTAATCAATGCTGGTCAGGGTTCCTTCGGCCAGACGGAAGGAAGCATTGTGTGGGTAAAACGTTGTAATCTTTTGACTTGCCGGGGGAATAGGAACCGGACTGACGCTCCCCAGAATGGATATGGAGCCAGGACCATAAGGACCTGTTAAAAAAAAAAAGAAAAAAAAAAAAGTCCTTGCACACCACTCTTCTTTGGTAGTTTAATTCCTCACTATTTGCAGTCCATGTATTGGAGAAGGCTTACGTTATTTCTATTCCGGAAGCACGATCTTTGCCAGCTACTTTAGGTCTTGTTCGTGCACCCCCACAGTCAGCAACTGTAAAGTTGGCGAATTGAACGCGTTCAGTAGTACCTCCAATAGCACACTTGCTTCCACATCTGTATGCACGCAGCCCCTCAAACACCTGCAGACCAATGTTTAGAAGAAAACGAAGACAGCAATTACAATTGTCATTTTAAAAAAAAAAAACAATGGGAAGAACAAAAGTACCTCTGGAGCTCTGTCCTGATTCCATGCTATGAAATCAAAAGCCAAATTCAAAACAAACAAGCTCAAGGTTAGGAAATGACCAAATGGCCCGATTGACAGAAAACATGGAAGTCTATGTCCTACTGAAGGGCACTGTTGGACAAAACCTGACCACCGTCTTAACCTGAATAAAATGTCCGGTCATTAAATACAGCTATAATGACCGGGAATTCTATTCGGGTGAAGTAGTCCCCCAGAAAGGGAATGATGGCTAATCCCCCAGAAAGGGAATGATGGCTAATCCTCCAGAAAGGGAATGATGGCTAATGCCCCAGAAAGGGAATGATGGCTCCTTCACAAGCTGATCTGCGAGCGAGTATGCCAGAAGTTTCATTAAAACATGCGTAGCGCTAGACTTGATGGAGGAAGAGTGATACAAGGATAGGAGATGTGATACAGAATCATTGCAAGAGGGACGAGAGGTGCCACGGGAGAAAAACGGAGAGCCGGGAGAGGTAAGTAGAAAAGAGCATGCATGGAAGAAACACTTTCCCCCCTAAAGCTGCCAAGACAGCTTGACTATGAAGAGACTCCAGCGGGGGGGGGGGGGGGGGGGGGGGGGAGAGAGAGAGAGAGAGNGAGAGAGAGAGAGAGAGAGAGAGAGAGAGAGAGAGAGAGAGAGAGAGAGAGAGCAATGGTTGCACGGAGGCACAGTGCTCAAAGGACGTTGTAGTCTTGTTTTGGTCAGCATGTCGACTGAGCATACAGTACAACCCACAGCTGTGACCAAATCTTGCTCACACATGCTCTACATCATCACCCAGTCACTCCAGCATAAATGATAACAATAAGCATCAAACCGAGGTCAACAAACATATAATAAAAGTGCTGGACGCAATGTGTCGTGGTTGTGACCTCAATCATAGTAGCGTATATCTGCAGTGTACAAAAAGCTTTCAAAGCATCTCTACAACATTCAGTGCAAATATGTGGCCATATTCTTTTCTTGTCATGGGCGTAGCAAAGATGATCAATAACAGCAAAAAAGAAAAAAATAAATCTCTTTCTTCAGGATATCCCTAGCATCCCACTGGCAAAGAGGATTGGATTTACGGTTTAGGGTTTAGTCCAGAACCTGGATGTGCTTGTGAAGAGGGGGGGGGGGGGACCGTGGTTGATCTGGTTCTTCTGCATGTTTGCATAAAACACGCCCAGGTTCAGGGGCTCAATCCAATCCTCTAAACTAATGGGACCTTAGCAGCGTAAAAATTGGAATAGATACACACACACACAGCGAGAGAGAGAGAGAGAGAGAGAGAGAGAGAGAGAGAGAGAGAGAGAGAGAGAGAGAGATGTGTCCCCTTTCATTCCAGCCCGTGCATGGACTTAATAAATAAATAAATAAATAAATTATGTAGGCGACCCTTTTTAGGAAACAACAAATCTGTGTGTGCGTGTGTGTGCGTGTGTGTGTGTGTGTGTGTGTGTTTTAGATTTTCCCCACAACAGCCCCAATTCCACCCAGGTGAATAGATTCAGAATCAAAGCAGTCTTTATACTATTGCCAACAACGAGAGCATTTGAGATGTCCAACATATTAAAGCAATTTTATAATTAGACAGTTTTTTGGTTGTCCTTGGGGTACCCTTTTCATTGTTCTTGCATCTCCCCTGTTACTGTGCCTCTTACGCACAAAGCTGCCCACGTTGATTGTGGTTGAGCGGCAGCTGCCCACATCCCCGTGTGGCTCCACGGCCCACTTGCACGTTATTTCAGGAGGCAGAGTAAAAGGGAAGGTATGCTGCTGTGCATCTCTTCAGAACTTCATACTCCTGTTCATTTCACTTCAGATCTTCAGCTTATACAGCCTTTGTGTCCATCCTTCATCTTCATACTTCCGTTCATTTCATTTCTGATCTTCATATCGTCTATACTCTTAACGATGCTCATTCGTTTGTATTTGTTAGTAGTACAAAGGGAGTGCAGGGGAGGGTGGAGGGTAAGGGATAGAAGGCGGAGTTCTCTAGGAGTATGGGCAGGGGAGGTAGGGGCAACGGGAAGGAAAGAAATCTGTGGAGGGCAGGATAGAGTATGGCATGCAAGAGCAGGGGAAAGTTGTATGACGGGTCTCACAGATTTCTAAATATTCACCGCTGAAAACAAACAAACAAACAAACAATAACTATGGCGAGTGGCCACCCCTACAGACCGGACAGGACCGGTTCGGGTGCGGGCTATGGAAGCACCACATCCAATTTTTGCAGTCACGGTTGCTGCATCGAATGGCACGGCACAGACAAATGTCACAGGCTACATGGCTCGTACATGCTAGGAACACAGAGGCACGTCGACCGCAATTATAGAGGCATTGCCGTTCCAGTCCCAGTCTACAAATTGGACATGACATGTTGGGGTGCCGTACATGAGTACAGTACTAACTGTCATCGTACGTATGGAAGCAAAACCTCGCATGGACCATACCTTCATAATCCTCATGGCACAAGGCATGTGAACCACATGCTTGTTGAATCTCCGGCGGGTCATCACAAAACGGCATGGAGCATCTTTCTTGGGCTTCCTCAGTATGTATTCCTTCTCTATGGGCAGATGACGACAGGGAGGATCGGTCCAACGCAAGGGCATTCAGCTGCTGCAGGATATGATCCGCAACAGCCCGCCCTGTGGTGATAAACTATGAGCACATCGCTCTGCCGGTCGTTCATATAGAAGTCTATTTTCCTCCTCGGACTGCTGTGTTCGCCGTTCGTCTGGCAAGAAAGAGGGAGATCCGTCAGCGATTGCCGTAGGTGTATGACCAATGCCGCATGTGGGACATGCTAGGAGAGGACGTGAAGGGTGATGGCACCGGGGATAGTCCACGCAGTAAAGACACATACTTTCTATGACAGCTTTCTGGAAAGCATTGGCGACACATGGCATGTTGMTGACATGTCATTAGTATGGAAGGCTGACGTGCACAGTTATTTAAGCATGGCAGATCAAGGCCACAACGGCACGCTGGGCAAGTAATCAGGGGGTG